AAATGACTTCATCATCATCATCATCATCATCATAGTTTATTTAATAAAGCAGGTTGAGGGATAGGCAAGACATTACGTCCTGATGTGGACCTGCATCAACTAAACTATCAATTAATAAATACCTAATTAGTGAATAGACCGAAAATGGTATGTAAATAATGACAATTAAAGGAAATAAATATTAATAACAATACGGAGTAAATGTTAAAAGTATTTAAAGTCAACAGATTTGTAGGAAACGCTGCAGGAAGCTTTAGCAAAACTGATAGATTTCAGAATTCTCTTATTTTCCCTGAGTTTTCTCTTGAAGGAAGTTAAGTTTGAACTGTTCTTTATGTCTTCGGGAAGGAGGTTCCAGGATAGTGCAGCTCTGTGCTTAAACGAAGATCTTCCCATTTCTGTTCTTGGTCTATGAACCTTAACTTTTAGGGATTTTCTTAAGTCATAAGGAGTCTCGGATTTCACTATTAAGTCATTTAGAGGCTCAATGCTATTTCCATGATAGATATTGTACGTAATAACTAAAAGTCTCCTGATGTAAAATGAAACAATAGAGTTCCAGTGTGGAGCGTTCATGATGTCATCACTGTGGATGCTATGGGGTAGGTTGTAAATAATTCTAGTAGCTCGAATTCGATCAATATCATCCGTCAAGGTTGAAGAACAAGACCCCCAGACTACAATGCCATACAAAACGCTAGGGATAATAGTTTTATAATAAATGTTTTCTAAGGTTGGTATCGGTAAAAACTTTATCCGATTCAGTACTGCGACTTTGCGGACTTCAAGCAGGGCCTGGCGACAATTTGACGATTCGATGGCCCGGCAAATATTATGTTCGACTAACAATGTGTTCAAAAAGTATAGTTTAATGCAATTTTTATTTGCCCGTGTAGATGACAAAAAATGACCAATTTTTATGTGAGAACTGCATTTGCTGAAAAGCTGGCGTGTTAGTTTTTATGTGGCAAATAAAAATTGCCACAAAAGTAGTCCATGTAGACGAGACGCCAAATAAAATGTGACAAACGCGCCCATAACTGCAACAGGTCTGGCACTCTTCTGACCTTTGCCATCTTGCATTTTTTCCTTTCCATGAGCATATCCGCTGTGCAAATTTATTACTGACGCAAATTAACAACAAATATTTGTCGAGCCATCTACACGGGCAAATAATTGTTGCCACATACAGTTGCCACAGAAAAATTGCTCGTGTAGACGGGGCTTTACAGGTCGTACTCCAATTGTCACTTGGAAATGAACCAAGCAAATTGTGGGTAAAATAAGCAAACAATATCAATGTCCCAGATTATCCAAGAAGTGGCCTGAAGTATGGAACACCTTGACGCTTTCACTTCAATGATCTCATCAGTAATTCTCCTTACTGTCTGCCATACAGTTCTGATGATTGGAGAATTGAGTATTCGATCACCTCATAATCCCTAACTGACATTTTTCTTTTTTTTCTTATCACTTGTTTACCTGATATTATATTGATTTTGTAAGGAGAAATTTTGTCTTGGCCACTCATAGAATTAAAAGGGTCAACATGGTCTTAGTCTAAGGAATATACTTTCAACTTAAAAAACAAACAGGGCATTGGGCTCCCATATGTTGGTCATCCATAAAGAATCAAATTGACTAAAGAATAGGGCTGCATATTCAGCTATTTACACTTTATTCAACAGATGTACAGTCTCACTAATAAATTATTTACAAGTACTACAAAAAAAAAAACTTTGAAGAGGTAATGAACTTTGTTAGCTTCATCAGCAATACAAATCATCTCCCTGAATCCAAAAACTTGGTTGAAGACTCTCTATTGAGCCTTGCATGCATGAATGTGTGTTTTACACCAGTTAATAAAAGAGGTCACCCTTAAATTAGTTTACCCTAAGCTTCTGTCAAATCGTCATTTAAATACAGATGCAATGCTGGCAGAAATAATTCCTCATTCATGCTCAGTTTGTAGAATTCTTCACTTTCATCAGCAACACCATTCTCTTCCAGTGTCTTGTTCATATCCAAGTTCCTTCCATTGTACTTCCATGTGTAGCTGGCAGCATGAGCATTGTATTTCAAGTAGCGGTCTTGGATTTCAGTAAGTATCTCCTCTGAACAAACCTTAAGAGAAGAAAAAAGAGATTCGGAAAGGAAATTGAACTTTTTCCACTCTTAATTCTTGATATCACATTTGGGGCATGTTAAACAATAATCATAATCATTATGATAATAATAATAATAACAATAACAATGAATACTTTAATTGAAGTTCCTCCATAGGGACTTTTCAACCACAATGTAGACCAAGTGCTTGAAAATCTCCACTGGTGGGGGCAGACCAGTGGGCTATTTACAGAGCAAAGTCAAGGAGTTGAACTAGGGGCAACGGAGAACAAATCCAGTGTGTGGAAGGGTGGAAGACTTAAACCCGGGACACCGGATTACAAGTCCAGCACCCTAAGCACTCATCCACACTGCCTCCTCTTAATTGTTATATACTGCTACATCCAAAATAATGTGAATCACAATTGTTTTGACTAACTTATTAGGTAATATTGATGAAATTCAGTCTGTCAAAGTACTTATTTCATCATTTGTACATGTGCAAGCTTGAATTAATTGAAGGCTTCCTCCAAGGTGATCTTACCCTAGTCCCAGAGGTTCTCTTCTCTCTCCCGGAGTACGATAATTCGGCGTGAAGCGCCGACCAACGAGCTGCAAAGCAGCGAGCGGAAAGAGAGAACCTCTGGTCAGGACCGTTGAGAATCTCACTTTCATGCCACCAAGCTTCGGGTGACAGCTATCAATCACGCCCCTTTCCGACAACCAATCAGAGTAAAGTACTAAAATACCTCTAAGGGTAGGTGTAGTGTTTTTACTTGTATCTGGAGTGGGGGTGGGGAATATATTTTGTTTCGTGGTCGTATTTATAATATCTGTCAAAATACTTGCTACACATGCCAAATGACAAGCTCGCATGTTGTACGAACTCCAACAAAAACGCCAATTAAAATCTACTTCCCTCGGGCAAATGATTATTGCCGATTTTGCAATGAAAACGTCAAGATAAATGGCTATTCTCAATTGAATATTTTCAGCGAGAAGAATCGAGATATTCTGCGCCGCTTTAGGCTTATTGTGAACGCCAAAGTTGAAAACAATTCCAAGATCTCACAAGTGCTATGTATTTAGTGCTACAGGGCTGTCCTAAAGCATGAAAAGCTACTCAGTCAATCCGAAGAATTACAAGAGTTCAGGAATAAATACAAAGAAGTAAACATAGATGTTGGAGAATTGATGCGATGCAAGAGATGTGCAAAAGATTCTCCTTGTAAATCACCGAGAACCGCAAGAACACGAGTTCACCAGCAACGAAAAAATTTTCTGTTTATCAGATAGTTTAGAAATATCGGGAAAATGTTTCTCCAAACAACCAGAGATTACACTTTCAAATAGTACGTTTAAAATAGACTCCATAAATATAACCAACAGTAAACAGAGATCAACAAGACTCACAAAGTTATATGGCCATGAAACAAAATATATTCCCCACCCCCACTCCAGATACAAGTAAAAACACTACACCTACCCCCAGAGGTATTTAAGTACTTTACTCTGATTAGTTGTCAGAAAGGGGCATGATTGATAGCTGTCACCAGAAGCTTGGTGGCATGGAAGTGAGATTTCTCAAAGCTCCTGACCAGAGGTTCTCTCTTTCCGCTCGCTGCTTTGCAGCTTGTTGGTCGGTCCTTTGCGCCGAATTATCATACTCTAGGAGAGAGAAGAGAACCTCTGGGACAAGGGTGAGGTGATCTTCCCAGACTTATATAATTCCTTGACTTTAGAAGTTGTATATTGTTCCAGGTCTTAAAGTCAGTTTGAAAATTTCTATTAACACTATTTAAAGAATTCTCTAGAATTCAAGACTCTGAAAGAATCCAGACACTAACTTCAATGGTTTGTTCTTGGGAAGTAAGTGTATTGATAATTCTGATTTTCCTGGTTTGTGCTGAAAGGACACCAATGCAGTAGGAGTCATCTTTCCACCATGGTCGTCCAAAGTCATTTGCCCAGTCTGTGCGTGGACACTGTGGAGGAGTGTGAATGAACCTTCCTCTTGGTGTGTAATAAAATTTACACTTGGTTACAGGATCAATGTGAGTTCGGATCTTGGAAGGAGAAAAAAAAATGAATATTAACAGTTGACTGCTTAATTTTTAAGATTATAATGATGGACTACCACGGAGACATGAAGAGAGACACAGCGTGGCCAAATGGTTAATGTGCTAGACTAGTCAAATCTCTCTCGATGGGTCCTCCCCATGGGCCTGTTTCTCCAAAGTCCTGGTAAATTAACTGGCATGAAGCAACATGTATATATTACAATGAAGATTTAGAGAACAAAGAGACAGGTTTTGGCTCCCTGACCAGTCCATTTTGTTTCTTTAGCTGACAGTTTTATTGCACAATTTTCAATACTTTTGAAAATCTTGATCTTGAATGACAACAAATTTGTGTTGGCTCAAAGCCAACACAACTTTCATAACACATATGAGCTTACATCTTTTGTTTTCTTATCAAACCAGTGTGTAATATCCTTTCCTGCAGCTTCGATGATGGGCTTCAGAAGAACATCACCTGAAACAACAAGAAATGCATGTACAGATCTCTGTGAGAGAAAAATTTCACTGCGTACTGTCAATTGTGTATTGCTATCGATTCATTTTCACGAGCTGAACTTTAAAAATTTGATCGACAAACACCACTTCATGATACTCCCGTGATTTCACTTACAGTTTCAATCTACTTAGAGTTTTAGTTTCGGTTTAAAAAGGCTTGAGTCAGTCACTGACTCACTGACTTTAAAAGTTTTCTTGCAGAGTTTTCCCTACCCGAACAATCACATAACACAATTGACAGTTATTGTCAAGTCCAAAGCATTTTCTGCAAAAATGTTTAAACTTACGTAATGCTTAGATAAAAAGCTTGACATTAAGTACTCAGCGCACTAGCTCCTAGATCTTTAAAGAGCTTTATTTGCATGTTAGCCCTTCCTATTGCTTCTTCAAGGGTTTATTTCTGGAAAAAATCGAGGGGTTTCATCCATCAACATGATGGTATAAACCTTGAAGTCGCTAAAATAACTCAGCTGTGAAAGTTGCGTACCTGTATGTTTTTCACACATCGGAGTAAGGTCGTAAACTTTGCCCAAAAATGATACCCATAGATCTTTTAACGTATTATGGATACTGACTTCGTTTGGTGTGTAGTACTTTGGTCGTTTCGAGGGGATTCCTGGCATGGTTTTCACCTCTTGTGCAAAATTAAGATGTGCCTCTCTCCTGCAACAAACGCAATATCATGCACTTGGCACTGTTTCCTTGGAAACGCATATCCCATTTCTTTGGTGTTACACAACATACCTTTTCTTTTCAGTAGTGCACGCTGACCAATATCGATGCTGATTCGTCATGTAAAATGGCATTGTCCTAAGAACATGCAGACGAACATGCAAATCTGCACGATGCTATGGCTAGCACGGAATGGCGAACTTTCCTAAGTTCATTTAATTTGAGACTGCCTAAATGCTAACACGGTTTGGGAAGATTGTTCCTCTAGGTTTTAAGGACCTACTGGTGAATACGTGTTTAGGAAATTGAAAAATTGCTACATCAAAGGTAAAGTGACGTCAAGACAGCTGATCATGTTTGGGACAGTACGTGTCCGTTAGGTGAAAGCCGGTCAATAAAACCATTATTACCGGGAGAAACTACAGAATGCTAGAATACATGACCACCGATGTCCAACTAGTCGGTGCACTTTAAAAGTGTTTGAAAAGCGAGGAATTTCGAGCATCTTAGATCCTGTATATAATGAATCAAAGAGTTTCGCTGTAACGCATAACAGCGAGTAGTCAAGTTTTATAACATTATTATTAACATTTAAAGTATTTTAACATTTAATTCTTTTGACATTGTTTTCTTTAAGAATACCGTTGGTAAAAATCAGATCATATACAAGGCTACCAGAAGTTTATATGGTTCTGAGTTGTATTGAGATTTATTCCTGCACTGGCAATGTACAAATGAAATATTTGTATGTTAGAAAAATAATGTATATATTGCTGAATCATTCAAGAAATGTTATACTGCCATCTCCTCTGTTCCACTTCTATTTTATGTGTTGGAATGATTCCTCATTTGTCTGGAGAAAAAAAATTGTATCTGATTCAGATTGGCATATTTTTAGGAATAAAAAAATTTGAAGCCACTTTTTTAAAGGCGTGTTTTGGGATTACTTCTGATCCTTTCTTTAAATAGTGTTTTTTTTTAGTACATAAAACTATTGAAATGTCATAACTGTACTGTGTGAACTAAGCCTATAGTATGATTTTCCTCAAATTATTTGCTAACATACTTTTTTTGGTAACAGAGATTTGAAAATGGCAATGCGTGATTTAGTGGAGGGAGAATGTGGGAGTGCTAATCCTTTGATGAAACTGGTGACTCACTTTACACAAGATCAGTCATTTCACCATGTTAGTATGACTGACAGCTCATGGTTACCTAATTTTGTTCACTTGTTTGAACTGCGGACTTGGTATAACATATTGTATTTTTTTTTTACCCGTTAGCCTTTTACATCCCAAGTGCAACAGTTTTATGCATATTGACTTTCTGTTTTCTGTCAGGGGTTTCATTGAAGGCCAGGCACCAGGCAAATTGGCTGGTTGTGACAATGGTTTTGCCCATCTGGTTTAACAATCTGTACAAAAGTTTATCTTATAAAGAAGTTTCGTTCAAAAAGTTTTGCCCGCCTGTGAAAACCAGTTGCCCTCCTGCTGAAAACATTAATGAAACCCCTGTTCTTATACATTTCTTATGATACTGGCAAAGATAATTTCTTCAACAATCAAGAGCTTCTTAAGTTCTTGATCATTTCCCTTATAAGTTATGCTTATAACCTCAATGTTTCATTCATTGTTAACCCTGTGACACCTAGGTAAGAGTGACAAGCATGTAATTTCTCCGTACAATATCAGCCCCAAATCAAACATTAAGGTAACAAGAACATAGAAAGTGATCAGCAACTGAGGAAGTTCTTGGTTGTTAGACAAGTTCTCCTTGAGAACAGTATGGAGAATATACATACTTGAGAACAGTATGGAGAATATGCTTACTGATATTAGAGTGTAAAGGGTCAATTCAATGTTAGTCGGAGGACGTTAAAGAACCCACATCACGAGATTACTGTGAGGTGGTCTGGCCTGTTTACTGGGAATTAGGGGGAGGGGGCATCTGTAAAATTTCTCCTTTGTTGATTGTTAACTGCCACTGGCAGTTTGGAAAAGTCCCCCGCACAGTGTTGTAAAGCACATTAGATCATTACATGGTACAAGGCTGTGCTCTAAGAAAAATTGAAGGGAGCCCAGTGCTCTGAAAGTGTGAAATCCAGGGTGCCCAGCATATGCTTCATATGAAAAACCTAAGATTCCTGAGTTGCCCAAGGGCAAAAGTAAGGCGCCAGGGGCCACTGGACGCTGCTAGACGCTGCTAGAGCACAGCCCTGTGGTAAGTGCGCTATAGAAATGGATAAAATTATTATTATTGTTATTTTATTATATTATTAGTCATTTCGAAGGGTTTAATAACTCCCGGAAGTGATTGATGTGTAACATCTCTGAACACCAAGTTCCCATGTCCAATTTACCTGGAAATGTGTAGCAATCAGAAGGGAAGAGTGTTGACAGGATCTTTAGAAGTGTAACAGTTGACACCCCTCAGTCATTTGGAGCTGTAACTGTTGGCACTCATCAATTACAAATCTGCCAGTTATGTTGTAATTTTGTAATAATTTTCAAGGTATTTAAATGTTTACAACCCATGTTGTACTCATTGCATGAATATATGATCTTAGTTGTTTCTGTGAAATTTATTATTTCAATTTTACTGCTAATGATTGTAATTTATATATATATTAGGTGACTCATAAAACATATTTTTTGTTGTATTCTTGTTAACAGGAGGGTCTTGTGCAAGACAGGTTTGGACCTCCCAGAGAATTGGTACGATAATGTTTTTCACAGAAGTCTTAACCTTTAATTGACACCCAGACTTCAGTATGCATATTCTCCTTATTGTTTTCTAATAATTCCAAAGGTGCTAACAGGGAGAATTTGTGAAACAGTGGAGAGCTTCTGAAATTGGTTATCATTTCCTTTAATCTTCTGAACATAATGTGTGATTTAGTAATGATACAGTAACTGGAAATTAGATGCAAGTAACTCTCACGGCTCAAAGGGTTAAAATAAATATTTAGTTCTTATTAACCAAGCGGGAGGTCTGTATGGGAGAATCTTGACCGAGGTCGCCAGTACTGACCGAACGCAGTGAGGTCTGTACCAACGACTGAGGTCAAGATTCTCCCATACAGACCGACCTAGCTCGGTTAATAAGATGTTTATTATATGGCTGTGTCTTTTATGCCAATTTTTTACATTCTTTGTACCTTTTTTTTGTAGACCAGTCTAGATGCCGGTCTAGATGCTGGTCTAGATGGGAAAATCTAGACCGGTTTTATTATTGATTTCAGCCAATCACATTCATGAATTCGGTAGTTCCTAGTCCTTGTGAGACACAGCCATATAATAATAGTACAATATCAGAACTGAGCAAAGAGTTTTCAGCAATCTGATTGGTCGAGCAGTTCCTTATATGATGCTATATAAACCACTCCACACGGTTTATATAAAATGTTAAAATAAAATGTTAATAAATGTTACTAAAACTGTTATGATTTTAGAAATTTCTCTGTTGTTCAGCTCTGAAATTACACTAAAAAAAAATTACTTGCCCTCAGGTTCGGTGAATATTGTCGAATAATTATGCGACGATATTCACCTCGCCTTCAGCGAATAATTGTTAAATACAGGATGGAGTGTGTCATTGCCTGTTAATTCAATAAGTGAGAGCTATTGCTAAAAAGCATGTGCTTATGATTAATAAATAGATAATACTGACCCTCCCTTAACAAAACTAGGGCACATGCTGCCAAGGCCTTGTAGAAAGTTCTAAGATTAGAAGTGCAAATTGTTTACCTCCTTATTTTATATTCCACATTACAAAACATATCTTTCCTTTTGTGGAAGGGGGAGTTTCCTTTGTCTTTCCTTTTAGTGGGCTAGCTAAGCTGAGTTGCTTCAGGGGTACTGTAGTAACAGTATTTTTTAACTTGACAGGGTGAAAGAGCTTTTCATGAGGCTCAAGAAGACCAGGTATTTGTCTTTAACCTTTGGTTTACAAAGTACTTTAATTTTTTTTTTCTCCTTAACTTAAAATAATCAAAGAAAGTTGAATGAGTAATTTGTGTGATCAGCTATCCTGTGAGAAATGTTGGCTAATAAGCGAAAAAGCAAGTTGTAAATGTTAAGGAATTTTTATTTGAATTAAATACACTAATTGAATGGTTAGTAAATTCATTGAGCTTATCTATTCCTGTTTTAGTTGGTGTCAGAATTTCTTCGTGATCCACGAACGCATGCTCCTCCCCAGTCCTTTCGTATGGGTGATTTGCTTCATGAAATGAAAGAAATTGAACAGCAAAACCAACATCATACCCCAGTTAGAGGTGGGTGTGAAACTATCATCTGATTTGCAAAATATATGTTTCATTACAAGGTGTAGATTTTATCCTGATTGGTACTTGAAGACCTCTTGCTATGATATTATTATTATTAATATTACTATTATTAATATTATTGTGGAGGCGCGGTGGCCTCATGGTTGGTGCGCTCGACTCCTGATCAAGTGGTCGAGGTTCGAGCCCTGGCCAGGACATTTTGTTGTGTGCTTAGGCAAGACACTTTACTCTCACAGTGCCTCTCTTCACCCAGGTGTATAAATGGGTACCGGCAGATTTAATGCAGGGGGGTAACCCTGCGATGGACTAGCATCCCATCCAGGGGGGAGTAGAAATACTCCTAGTCGCTTCATGCTACAGAAACCTGAGTTTAAGCACCAGCCTAATGGGCCACTAGGCTCGTAAACAGACTTTACCTTTATGAATATTATTATTATTAATATTATAATATTTAACCATATTACTATTGATTTGGGAAGGAGGAACTCTGCAGTGATGAGAATGTATGCCTTCTATTGCTGTGACCTGAGTCCAATCACTTATGGCCAAGTTCATGATAGGCTGTTGTCATTGCCTGTATTGAATTTTGATTTCTGTTACTTAGCTCCAGGCATCGCTGATCTGGCATCAAGTGAATGGGCTGCTGAATACATGTCTTCTGAGGTGCAACGAGCAGAAGGTACTCAAATTTAGATGTGATGTTAATGAATGCAGTTAGTGCTATATTTACCTCCTGAAGTGAAA